TATGACTATAAATGAGAACCAAATTATACTTTAATTTTTATGGATGTTCATGATAGAAAAGCAATGTGAGATCAGGAGGTCTTTCCAGAAGAGGAGGGCTGCTCTTAAACATCTCTGCTTTGTCCCTAGGTTTATGTGTTCAGTATCATCCAGAAAACTCTTGGTTTTGCATTTGATTGTAATTTGCATTTAGATTGGCTGCCTGAAGGGAGTCTCTTGCAGGGGAGATGGGGCTGTGTGGCTCCAGTCTCTCGCAGATCTGGCTGGAAGTAATGGCATTTACATAAAAACCATTAGCTCTGTTATTGATAAACATGAAAGGCATCCATTTCATTTAATTTTTTGATGAAGAGCTTTTAATATAAGCACACAATAGCACTAAGGTAGTAACATTCCTGTCCCCTCATCCCTCTGTACTGACCTCTTGTTTTAAGGGCGAGCTTTGATTGGGATTTTGTTGGAGGAGAGATGGGAAGTTATTTCTGTTCCAATTTACTGGAGTAGCCAGTTGTTGTGCTACATTGTGGGGAATTATTTAATGCTCATTTGAAGAGGTGTCTCTATTAATTGAACGGGGATTTAATGTCTCCCTGAAGCACAGTTGGTCTGTGTGTGATGTACACCAACACGTATGGCTGGCAATTCTATGGATAATCTTTCCCTTAATCAAAATGGGTTTAAGCAGAACTTCAGTGGCGCCTCATTAAGGGGATAAAGTGTGTTGAAACAACAAATATATTAAAGGGAACTTCTCTGGTGCACTCCAGATAAGAGCCCATGCAACCCTTCAGCACCGTGGCTGCACAAACATTTGTTCCCCTGCCTGTGTAATGGTGCTTTGGGGACCAGGAGTGTCACAGAGAGCTGTGATTCACTGGCTTTGGGAAGCTCTGCTGCTGCTCTCATGTAGAAATACTTTGCTTTTCTCCTGGGCTGCCTCAGGTGTGACCTCAGCAGCCTCCAGAGGCAGCGGGTGCTGCAGTTGTGTTCAAGCATCACAGCATTTACTCCCTGAGAGCTTTGCAGGCGCTGTGAGTTCCTGACCTCAGAGCTGGGGAGGGGAGGGTGCCTGTTTTGCATTGATTGCCTGGCCTGCTTCTTTTTGGGAACCCAGGACATCCCTCTGGCTGTCCTGGACTGCCAAGCCCCTGCCAGGGGGCTCAGAGACCCTGGCACAGAGCCCAAAATGCCCCTGTGGTTGCACAGAGCCCAAAACACCTGTGGGTTTGATTATGACCCATGGAGCAAATTACCAACCTTAGATGAAGATTTGCAAGCCACAACAAATTAAATAGAATGATAGTGAATTTATCACAAGGTGAAAAAGTAGATTTTGGGGTTTTTAGAATGGGGATTCAGGGGGCAAGGTGAAGGAATCTGGGCATGTCCAGCCTTTCTCCTTCTGCTTCTTCTCAGCCTTCATCTTCTGCTGTGATGGTGGCACTTTTGGATTGGTTTAGAGTAGAAGCTCACAGTCTAACATAGGTGATAGGTATTGGGAAGTCACTGTAAATAATGTACACGTAGTTTTTAGTATAAAAAGATAACACTGCCCTGGGGGGAGGCAGAGTGCCTGGAACTGTCCTGCTGGATGGACCTCAGCTGGACAGGAGAAAGAATTTTATAGACAAGATACCATAAACAACCTTGATACTGAGAACTGAAGAGCTCTGACTCCTTCTTCAACCACCAGCCTGGAAAAAGAGACTTTGGAGCTCTTCTCGGGGTCACTCTGACAAACCAGAGACCCTGACACTTCCTGATGTAAAAAATCTGTTAAAATTTTTGTTGGTTACTTTATATTTACAGCTCTTTTTCCTCTCTAACAGGCTTCAGACAGATGAGTAGAGAGCTGGCTGCAGAAGAGGGACAGATTCCAGCTTGCCAGCTGCTCACCGTGTGCAGTGAGTACCTTCATATTTCAGGAATAAAACTTTCTGTGGTGCCTGATGTCAGCCTCAAATTGCCTCCACTGGGGCACAGCATTAAGTCTGCATGCTTGGACAGTGTTCCCCTAAAAGTACAAGCTTCCTTGGCTTAACTCTTGTTTTGGGAGAAGCTGTGCTCCAGTTTTACCTAAAGTGGTAAATTGTGTCCTCACCCCACTTGCAGCAGTGGCAGAGCAGAGAACTGCTGCAGTTCTGCTCAGGGCTGTGGGGAATCAGCTCTAAAGGTGTCCCCTGAGGCTTCCTGTGTGGATCAGGAGTGGAAATGTTCCCCAGAGCTCTTCCAGCCTTGTTGGAGGTGTTGGAGCTGAGTGAGGAGGGTGCATGAGGTTCCTGCCACGGCACATGCCGGGGTTGCTCATGAATGAGTGCTATGAAATCAGCCAAATGAGGCTTGGCTGGCCTGGTGGGTGGAAAACAGCAGGAATAAACCACTGGAAAGCATTGGCCAGTTCGTGGTAAGGATGGCAGGTTTGCCCTGAAAGTGGAGGAGAAAATCTTTATTTCATGGGGAATTTTTACACATTAAAATGTCTTGCATGCGTGTTAATGGGCTGTAATAACGAGCCTGTGCTTTATGAGGTGTCTGCAAACATCTTAGAACTCGCAACTGTGAGGGAGTAAATACTCCAGCTAGTAAATTCTGAGTAATTGGAATGTCTTGGCCCATGTGGTGTGGCCAGACTGAAATAGGGAATTGCCTCTGAAAGGCAGGAGGATGCTCTAGCACAGGCTGTAAAATGCAGGTGAGTGTGGGAGCTGCAGCAATTGAGTTTATTGTGACAGTCCTGGCAGGTGATTCTCTGAGGATCATGTGGGATGATGAATCTTGAAACTGAAAGTGTTTGTTAACAAAAGTCAGGCATGAAATAATGCATTTAGAGGCTGGGCTGTGTCATCAGGTTGGTGTGGATGTACCCAGGGAGCAGGGCAGAGAATTCCTGTGAGTCTGGGAAAGAAGGGAAAGAGAAGCAAACTTATTTGTGGCTTTCTCATTTCTCCCATACCCAACCAGTACATGCAGGGGGTCCTGGGCTCAGGTGTCTGTTCCTGTGTAATACAGCATTTCTGTACTTCTGGATCCTGAAAATGTTTGTGCTCTGCCAAGCACAGCAGGGACTCCCCTCAGCTGGAGCACAGCTCCTGTGAAAAATTCCACAGTGAATCACAGAACTGGGAGCAGCACTGGGGGCACGTGAAGGACAAAGCAGGCTGGTATTGACCAACACTGTGCCAGGGTTCTCATCGACAGCTCTGATCCCAGGCTGTGCTCTGAGCCAGATCTGCTGACTCGAGGAGCTGCAGTCAGTCAATACCATTGAATTCTCCTTCTCTTTTGCATATCTTAAGGAGAGGGAGTCTCAGGCTGACAGCTGTGCAGGGTGCACAAGGCCAGGGCTGCACAGCTTTCCCCCAGTGTTGGGATCTCCAGCTTTCAGAGTGACCCAGAGAAGAGTTCCAAAGTCCCTTTTCCCAGCCTGGTGCTTGAAGAAGGAGTCAGAGCTCTTCATTTCTCAGTCTCAAGGTTGTTTATTGTGTCTTGTCTATAAAATTCTTTCTCCTGTCCAGCTGAGGTCCATCCAGCAGGACAGTCCAGGCACTCTGCCTGCCCCCAGGGCAGTGCTACCTTTTTATACTAAAAACTACCTGTACAATATTTACAATTCCCAATACCTATCACCTATGTTAGACTGTGAGCTTCCGCTCTAAACCAATCTGTAAGTGCCACCATCACAGCAGAAGATGGAGGCCAGGAAGAAGAAGGAGAAAGGCTGGACACGCCCAGATCCCTCCATCTTGCCTCCTGAACCCCCACACCAAAAACCCCAAAAATCTACTTTTCCACCCCATGATAACTTCACTATTATTCTACCTAGACTGTTGTGGCTTGCTAGACTGTTGTGGCTTGCTGATCTTCATATAAGGTTGGTAATTTGCTCCATGGGTCATAATCAAACCCCCAGGTGTTTTGGGCTCTGTGCCAGGGTCCCTGATCCCGCTGGCAGGGGTTTTGGCCATCCTGGACAGCCAGAGGGATGTTCTGGGCTCCAACACCCCAGGACAACATTTGGCCTGTGCAACAGTTACTGCCCTGCTGTGGTGTGCAGCAGGTTCTGCACTGACCTTCAGGAGCCATTCTGGGTTAGTGGGGCTGGTGCCCAGAGGAATGAATGCAGGAGACAAGGATTTCATGTTTGGACTCCTTTTTAGGGTGGAAGACTGTGATTAACACAGAGTATGGATTGAGGTCAGTAGGAGATAGCTGAGGGAAGGGCAGGGAGCTGGAATAGAGGAGATGCTGGAAACAGTCTGTGATTGCCATGGAGCAGAATGGCAAAAGAACCTGTGTGTCAAGGGACTCCTCAACAAGTCATTCTGATGCAAAACTCTCTCCATGACACTAAATATCTAAATAACTGCATTAGGCCTGGAAACTAAAAATATGTTTGGGAGAATCATCTTCAAAACACCTCCTGAGACTTCCTGGCTTGGCAGCAAAGCCAAGCTGTGCAGGAGTTTTGTAGCAGGCCCCTTCCTGTGAGGATGTGGCACCATCCACGTGAACAGCAGCGTGGGTCTGATGCTTCCTGTGCTTCACAGCTGCAGTGGAGAGGGGCTGGGGGAGAGAGAACACTTGGCCATGGCAGGGAGGGTTTGTGCTGCCTGTTCAGGTGGAATCCCTGCTCACAGCTGCTGCTCCCCTCAGAAGATGCTGGAGACTTTTTAAAAACTCAGCACGGGGCAAACAAAGACCTGAGCTGGGTGAGGCTGGGTCTGTCCTGTCCCCAGCCATGGCCAGCAGGAATGTCCTTCGTGTCCCATCAGTTTATTCAGCTCTTGTGCTTTCAGCCTCTGTCCAGGCATTTCAGATTTTAACTTTGTGTGGTGAATGACTTCCTTTTGGTAACTGCACCTACTGCCAGCTCATGTTTGGGGAATTGTCATTTTCATTAAAATTCTGTAAATCCCTACTGTGTCCCATGTCAAAGGACTCTTTTCCAGACTGAAATGTCCTAATTGATTCAGTGGTCCTTACAAAGATGCTTCATGCTTTTGACTATCTTTACTATATTCACTATTGCCAATTTTTTGGTCATTTTTTCTCCTCTTGAGTGCTTTTATTAGAAAATTGAAAGAACCTTTGGGTTTTTGAGGTCCTGTCCTTTTGCTGAAGTTCTCTGTATATTTAGCCATAGAAGAGAGAACAGGAATTTTGATGCTCCATGTAATAATAAGCCGTAGCCTTTTATTTCTTTATTTCTTTTCCTAAGAAGCAGAGATTTGTGTGTCTAATCTAAAAACTCTGTCAGAAAAGCTATGAATAAACCAGATAGCATTGCAGTGCCCTGAGTCACTGGAACAATACATTGTTAACAAGGAGCCCTGGCAGGGTTGTGTGGCTTTTTGCTAAAGCTGTCAGCCAGGGTATGCGATGCATCTTTGTATCCTGCAGCAATTTGGTGAAACTAAATGGCTGCTGGTGTCTACTGCATCTTCTAAATGATGACAGGAATCATTCTGGGTGTTAAACACTCTGCCCCTCTGCATTGGTTAAGAAATTATATCCAAATGGAGAATTGGTCTTGTTTAGGTAAATATAAATCAGTCATCAAAGAGGGGCTGGTTCTGCGAGGGCAGGGCCTGGCTCTGCATCTCCTCTGCTCTGCATCACTGATATTTATTTTATTAGTGGCTTCCAAAAAGCAGAACTGGAATGTGATGTGATTAAAGTGTTAACGCCAGGGCTGCAGTCCCAGGGGCTGACAAGTCTGTGGTTTTCTCTATCTGCCCTGACTCACATCCGTGGCTTTTGTGCTGCCCTGAGGTGAGTCAGGGCTCCCCAGGGCTGACTGAAGCCCTGCCCTGTGGGCAGCCTGGGAAACCTGGGCCTTTTCCAGCTGAGAGCTCTTGGATGTTTTCCCCAGTGCTGAATCACAGCTCCTGGACCATCCAGGGCAGTTTTTCCCCAGTGTTCAGCTTTATCTTCCACCACTGTGCTTTTCTTCTTTCCTCTCTGCTGCCTTCAGCCCCAAAGAGCTCCCAGCTCTGTCTGTGCTCCACTGTGGCTTCTGTTCTGCACAGGGAACCCAAAGGACCAAATCCTTGCAGCAATTCTCTCCCAAAGCAGCTGATTTCTGCAGCACAATCAGTTCATTGCACAGACCTGTCAATGAAACACCAAAAGCTCCCCAAAGCCTCACCTGGCCTGCCAAGATGTGTCACCTGTGCCTCAAGCAGCTGGGGAGTCCTCCTGGACAGGGGACGCCGTAAGGAGGAGAGAGGGAAAGAAACACATCCAGAAACTCTGGGTTGATTTTCTATCATTCCTCAGGGTGTCCCAGCCCCTGCTTGTTGGTGAGGGATGGAGGTTTTTTAGTATTCCTTCCTTTCATATCTATATCTAATCTATCTACATCTAAATCTACACCTACATCTACATCTATATTTGTATTTATTTATATACAAATATATATATAGATATATAATCTATATCTATATTTGTATTTATTTATATCTATATTTATCTATCTATCTATCTATCTATCTATATCTATCTATATCTATAATATCTAATCATCTATGTCTATATATTTGTATTTATTTATATATATCTATATCTATATCTATACCTATATCTATATATCTATATCTATATCTATATCTATATCATCTATATCTATATAATCTATATCTATATAATCTATATCTATATATTTGTATTTATTTATATACAAATATATATAGATATGCAATCTATATCTATATTTGTATTTATTTATATCTATATCTGTCTATCTATATCTGCATCTATAATATCTAATAATCTATATTTATATATTTGTATTTATTTATATCTATATATCTATATCTATATGTAATATCTATATAATCTATATCCATATTTGTATTTATTTATATTTATATCTGTATCTATCTATCTATCTATCTATCTATAT